TTTGTTTGGGTTTATTAGTTTAATTATTTAGGGTTTTTTTCCCTCACAGAGGCTTTCATTCCATGGGGAGTTTTTTCTTGAAGGAAAACCAAGCATTGACATTTTTCTGACAGATCAGGATGTCATATATTCGGACAGCTCATGGATATGTAGAAATTGAATTCTCCAGTGCTTTCTGACTCATATTTCCACTAATTCCTACTTATGTCCTCCATGTTAATCCTTTGGGACGGACAGCTTTATTTTTATCCCCAAGTAACCACAGGCATAGTTCTTTAGAAAGCTCCTTACTTCAAGGGAAATGTGATAAAGTCACCTATGAGAAATAAATACCAACCTTGAACAAGGTAATAAAGAACTCTGACTTAATCCTGTCAAAGCTTGATAGCCTGACTCATGCGTGGGCAGTAGAATTTTCCTGAAGCCTTTAGGGACCTTTATGGTTTGTTTGATAGTCAGTACATATCTGAGTATACGTGCAGAAACAGAAATCTCAGTTCCCAGCAAAATTGTTTCCCCTGATGTCCTTTAAAGGGTCACAACACTACTGCATTGTCTGGGAACAGAAGGAAATGTTGTTGCCTTTTCAAAAGGGAGCTTCTTTGTCTACTCTTGTGATCACGCGGAAGTTCCTGCTGAGGTAACTCAAGAGCATAAGGGTCACCCCTTGAACCTTCATCTACTGCAACTGAATCCTCAAAGCTCATTTCTTTTTAGTACTGATTTCTGTGTTGTGTCATGGGTGTCATACTTTCTCTTTTCTTTCCTCTTCTAGCTAACTCCCTAGGGCACAGTTCCTGTCCCTCTCCATGTACACTCAAGTTCAGACTCTTTTATAAAGGAGAAAGAGAATTTGAAAGGCAAAACCTAGCTGATACCTTGTGTTTGTGTTAATTCCTCTCTACTGTTCCGATTACAATACTGCTTAAATCACAGTGAAAATCGTTGGAAGATACCTGATTTATGAACTGAGAACTTCGTGGATAATTTTGCACTCTTGCTCAATTTTAATGCAATGTTAATGCCTTTGTAGCTCATCTTTGTGTACTTTTCCCCGCTACATATTTGGTTTAGGAACTCAGAATTTAGGCTGCTGCTCAGACTGATATCAGTGTAGCAACTTTATGGAAGATCTTATAGCTCTTAAGTATTTGTTTTGTTTTAGTCCTCAAAACTAAACCAGCCTGTTTTGCATTCTTGTATGTGCTCAATACTGAGAGATTTAAAACTTGTTCTTCTGGTAGTTTTCTTGAAAGAATGTGTGTGTGGGAAGTTGTGCCGCTTCAGAAGTTGTGGTGAAAGCCTTTTAAGGGGTAGTAGGTAAGGAGCATTCAAATCTGGCTGCAGGAAGTCTTTTACCCCTTGTAAATATCCACAGCAACTTCACATGCTACTTTGCATACCACCCTCAGAGGTGGCTGGGCAGGAGGAGAGCTCTAATCCATGAGGAAGGCTGAGGCACTTCTGATGTGAGTGGATCCCACAGCGGGGAAGCGATGGGAGTGCTTGGTCAGGCTCTGGTCCCATCCAGAGAAAGCATTCACAGAGGCTTCTGACTTCCAGCTGAGAGGTCGGGGTGCAATAGCAGGCTGGCTAGATCAAAGCCTAGGCTTCAGGTTCAAGTCTCAGCACATCTCAAATCTAGCCTCGCTTATTTATTAGGCAGGCCTCTTGCAAGTCTACTTTTCCCTCCTTTCTCCTTTGGGTTTCTTACAAACTTCGTATACTGAGGTCCATTTGGCTCCAAATTCTTTGATTTGTTTATGATGACCGTCATAAGACTTTGAAAAGGCTTGGGGGCTGCACTGTTCCTGAGTGGGTGGAGTCTCCAAGACTTCATATACTTGCTGGAAGAGCCTCTGAAAAGCTAATGGTGCTGCAGGTGGGGCTACAGCTGTAGGGTTGACAAACTGCTGTAAATATGGCAAAATATAAAGATGAAAAGAAAAAATGGAAATTAGTTTTTGGTTGATTGGCTTTAAAAAATTTCCCTGATGTCCAGATGTTGTACCTTTGTGCTCAATTTGGTGGTTCTTGCAATTCCTTTGACTGCAAATTATTTGATAGTTCTACCACTCTTACCATTACTTTTATTTTTTTTTTTTTTTTGAAAGGGTGAAATTGTTTGATTGTTGGATTCAGGGCTTACCATTTAATTTAGCTAATTATATAAAAAGGAATGTGGTTGGAGTGGGATCAGATGTGTCCAGGGAAAGAAAACTGGTTATAAAAAGCCATGTGGTACATTTTTTGACCTAATATCTGATGCTATTTTGCCTGACACCTTGAGGACTGATATTAGTTTAAATACTTGGTGTAGTTTTGGGTTTTTTTCTGACATTTAGAGTTGTTCCAGTCCTTAAGTGTCAGAAGTGGTCTGTACAAGGAAACTGCTGAAAAAGTGCATTATGCAGTTTTTTCTTCTTCTAGATTGTTCTGTAGGGTGAGTGAGGGAGACTAGCCATTATTCCTCTGGCATAATTAACTCTTTATGCATGGTAAATTCTTACTATTTCTTTCCCTTTTTAAACAATGTATTAGTTGTAGAAGTAATCAGTTGGTAGTTACCATGTAAAAGTTTCATGGTTTATATTATGCTGTGCAAGATTAGATTAGCATATGAATTCCATAAAACAAATAATAGTATTGTTTTAGTACTCAATTGTTGTAGCAAATGATTCTGGGGGCTGGATATTATGGTTTAGGCATCTGAAGTGGGAGAACAGGGGAGGACATATGTTCCATTGTGGTTTCCAAACCACAGTATAATCAGGGTTTGTATGAAAACAAAAGAGGTCATGGTGCAAACTTTTACTGAAAAATTGGAGACATTTAAAGACTCAGTTGCAGTGCAACTTTAAACATGAGATTGGAGGAAAAACTGCTAAAGCACTGATCTTCTCCCTCCCCTGTATCCTAATCTCCTTTGTCCTTACCCGACATACCTAAACAAGGGCATAACCCTTGGTTTGGGTTTTTTTTTTACCACCTCCTTTTTTCCTACCTACCACATCATTAAAGAATTTCTTTTGCTAGGGGAAAGCAAATCGGAAGTTATACAAAATTGCACAGAAGCAGTTCTCCACTAACTTTGCCTAGTGGTTTTCTGAATGCCATTCATTGAACTTTTGACCTCTGCAATGTCATATAACGCCTACTGCCAATTATTTGCTTTGCAGGAAAGTATTTAAATTACATGCACGATTTTGATGTGAAATTCTCATTTTCCATGTGATGAGAAAGAGTAAATAGTTGTTCCTCAGTTACTTTCTCAGCATTAGGCCTGAATTTATAGACATCTGTTTCTACCCTTTCTTTCAATCATTCACCAGCCTGAGATCCCACAATTTTTCCTCATGCAAATATTTCACATAATTCTGTGCATTCTCACCACCTTTTACTCCTCTTTATAGTGAATTCTGCACCTTTCCAAATCTATTTCTCTGGCTGTTACCAGAGTTTCACTGAGTGTTAAAGGTGAAGTGAGCTTTGGATTTCATGTTCTATATTGATGTTTTCGAGTTTTGTTTTACGAATAATGATGAACATTTTGTCTCTCTTTTGGCACCTGTGGAGTAGAGTCCTGAGATTTGTTGAAGGATTTATTGCAGTGATGGTTATGTTCCCAGCTGAAGTAGATTCTGAGTTCCTTTCACAGTGTGCATGTTCATGTGCAGATGTGTTTTTTCAGTATGTGCTGACCCACATTTTTCAGCATGAATTTCTTCTCCCTTTCCTATTCCTCAGTCAATTACTAGGATTTCATGATGCTCTAACTCATGGTGGTCAGTAGCTTTGTGCAGAAGATGAATGTAAGCAGAGGTCTTCCAGTTTTTCTATAAATTGAGTTTCTGTGCAAAGACATTGTATGAAAAGAGAGTGTAGCTGCCTCTTTTTTCTTTTTTTTCTTTGTTCATTCACACTTCTCTAGTGACCTAAGGCTGATACTGATGACTGGTTGAAATCTAGTGTGTTTTTTCTGTTTCTTAATTGGGTTTTGGGGTGTAAAGTGAACGACAGCATATTCTACATGTAGCAGGTATTGGGGGAAAGTAGCAGTTCTCAATGGTAACATAGTGTGTCTTCTGCTGCATTTCCCTTAGTCCCACTGCAAATACTAAAGAACATTTTTGCTTCCCAGAATTTAAGGAGGAGTCAATTTTGTCTTCCAAGAAATTAACTTGAAGGATACCATCAAGGCTTTATTGGAGGTGCTGGAAGATACTTGCTGAATTACAAGGAAGAAATGTTTTAGCTGTTGGTTGTTGAGTGATGACCTGGGCAACTTAAAAGACAAATTACTTGTAGAATGTACTTAGGGCTTTCTATATTATGTGTGTTTAATACTGTAAAAAAGCATGAATACTTGTGGTGGGACAGATGCATACCAATACTGGCTCTATACCTCAACAAGAGCCTTTCCTGTAACCCAATGTACCTGAGAACTGTGGGCATGTAGCAGTTACAGTTTAGTCTGACTAAAGAGCTTACAAAACCCCTCAAAACCTAGGAAGAAGTTGGTTACTGATTTTGATCCAGATTTCTGAACGGGCTGTACTTGAAAATGTGTACTGAATTTATAGGAATTTGAAGCAGTACACGTCTGTTTATAAATGGTTAAATAGGTGGATGGGCCATCTGTGAGTCTAAGCAGGGTAGTAGTTAATATGACATAAGTCAACTAGTATGCAATTTAATAAAGAAACCCCAATTCTTTTTGCTTTCACCTAGTGTGAATCCTGTGTGAGCTTGCTCACTTGTCTTTCCAGAGTCCTTGCTCTGAGATTGAGCAAGTGGCGTGCAGAGTTATTCTATGGCACTGCTCCTGTCTCTTAAGGAAAAGCAGGAGAAAAAACCTGAAAATGCTACAAATAACATTTTTACCTTCACTGCTTCACACAGGCTTGTGAAATTGGCTTAACATTCCTTAAACTCTTTTACTTGGTTAATAATGTGGGTTCCAGCACACTAACTTTTTGTTATGTTTAAACCTTTGCCAGGACGGGAGCAGTTCCATGGCCTTGGGTCTATGTACTGCAGAGGAGCAGCTGCTGTGATCCTCACGTACGATGTGAACAGCTTCCAAAGCCTGACGGAGCTGGAAGAAAGATTCTTGGCACTGACAGACAGTGCAAGTGCTGACTGCATTTTTGCTATTGTTGGAAATAAAGTTGACCTCAGTGATGACTGTACTTTACCACCGGATGAAAATAGACCTGAGAAGTCCGTTGCCAGCTGTGGCTCGAAGGTGCGAAAACAAGTCCGTGCAGAGGATGCGATTGCGCTCTACAAAAAGATACTGAAATACAGAATGCTAGATGAGAAGGATGTTCCAGCAGCTGAGAAAATGTGTTTTGAGACTAGTGCAAAAACAGGATACAAGGTGGACTACCTCTTTGAAACTGTGTTTGAGATGGTAGTCCCAATAATTGCACGGCAGAAAGCTGAGGGGCCACCGCAAACTGTTGACATCACGGACTACAAGCCAGCAAAAAGGACAAAATCAGGTTGTTGTGCCTGACCCGTTTACGTGACATAAGAAAAGGGGAGGGATTGTTTGCTCCAGCAAAATGAGGAGCAAGAAGTGCTTTCAGCTCACCAGAAAGGAAAAGTCAAAGCATAAAGAAATAGACTAAAATGGTGTATGCAAAAAAAAAAAAAAAAGGCCAAAAAAACCCCCAACAACAACAACAACAAAATCTTCTGACCATTAAAGGCTTCTGGGAAGCTCTGTGTATAAAAATGGGAATGCAAGTGAAATTATGGAGTAAGACTTGCTAGTTTCTATGGTGTGTTAGTACAATTGGTAGTGACAATCATTTGGACAGTTTTGAAGGAGTCTGATTTTTAGTGACTTGCCATTTCATGTTGCATATAAATGATCTGTTTGTGTACTCTTGACGACTTTCATATGATTATCATCTTTCCCCTTATGATTCTAACTTTGGAAGACTGAACACACGGTACTTTTTTATTCTTCAGATAAAAAAAGAAAATCCAGGTGTAATTTATATTTGTAGCTAATAAATCCATTGCGATCTTTTTATGTCAGACATGACAGTGTATGATTCGGAAGCTGAACTATTAAAATCACTGTGGATCTGCACTATTCACTTAGAGACTTTATTAATGTGAATTCTCCTTCCATAGTGGGCTCCCATGTATTAACAAGCAGCCACACAGCTCTTGCTGCTCTAATTGCGATTTGCAGGAGGATGGGTTTTTTTTGGTTCATTTTTGTCTTGTATTTCTTTTTAATGTAGATAGCAAAGTGTTTTTTGGGGAAGAAGCAGTCTATTTTGTCTGCATTTTTGTAAAGACCTCCTTCTAGTGCCTGTAGGGATACCACTGCATTGAGTTACCTGTGTTCTGTCTCCCTTCCCACTCCTTCTTAAAGCTGCAGAGCTGCAGCTTTGATTTTTATCAGCTATGCATGACATTACTACCTGGAGTAGTAATTACCTCTACCTTGAGGGAAGTGAAGACTGGTGTGTTCTGATGTGAAACTGGCTAATGCAGGGAAGATAAGCTGTCTTTTGTGGAGTAAAAAGCACGTAAAGGAGCAATAATGAGGTATATGGTTTCTCTCCTGACTGCAGTAAAAAGGAGGGGCTTCTACAGCTCTTGACTCCAAAGAATGCATGCAGTGACCCAGCAACTGTGACCAGAGTGAAGAACTTCGAGTCTTTAAACATCATCCCCCCTCAAAAAAAAAAAAAAAAGACCTATTCCTCCCAAATAATAAACCCCAAAGATGCAGCTTGTGTATTTTCAGTTCTTCAATTTCTTTTGTGGGGATTCCTTCATCTTCCTTTGGATGCTTCTGGTGTAGTTTTCTAAAACTAAAGGATTAGTTTCTTTATGCTTTGTCATTGCCTTTCTCTGTCCCCCCCCAAATCACAGTTAGTACATGGGGAGACAATTCCTAAATGAATAATGAATTAAATTATTACTAAGTATATTTAGGTTCCCACTTCCCCCCCTCCCCAAAAGTACATCCTCTTGAGCAAATTGCTGCAGAGTAGTAGCTTTATTTTCTGCTTTCAAGTTAATTCACATTACACATGTAGGTGGGAAGAAAAGCACTGAACATTAAATAATAGAATTATAGAATAGTTTGGGTTGGAAGGGACCTTAAAACATCCTCTAGTCCAATCCTCCATGCACTGAGGAGGGATGTCAACTCAATCAGGTTGCTCAGAGCTCTATCCAATCTAAACTTGAGTGTTTCCAGGGGTGAGACATCTACTACCTCTCTGGACATCTTGTTCCACTGTTTTACCACATCACTGCAAAAAAAAAAAAAAAAAAAGTCTTTTATCTAGTCTGCATCTACGCTGTCATGATTTAAAATCAGTGCTCCTTTTCCTATTGCTGCAGACACTGCTAAAGGACGTCATCTTTCGGGTTTGCAGTTTAACACCTACTAGTCTGTCAGAGACTGGACGGCACCTGAGGTGTGGAATATAAAAATGTGTACAATTAGAAACCCTTTATCTATTAACAAAATTCTAGGGACAGTATCTAGTCTTCCCTCAGGACAGGAAAAAGGCAAGCAGGACACAACCTCAGTCTTCTTTGTGACCAAACTGATCTGCTGACACATCTGTGAGAGATCCAGCACTGGCTTTGCTGCATCTGTCGATGTCTGAACCCGCAGCACGTAGTGATTACAAGGTGAAGCTTTTTGGGAGATGCTTTATTCATATCAGGTCTTAAGGAATTCTTACAGTCTTTCTAAAAGCTCCAACTTGAGTGTTTTTACCAGAAGAGATGACACATGAACCAGTCTTGTGTGCTGTGCTTTTGGCCTTAGAACTACACTTGTCTGGCATGATGTTGTGGCTTTTTAGTGTTGTTGGCTATTGTTCTTGAGAAATGTCTGGGTTATGATGGGTTGTCATTCTATCAGCCTGTGAGAGATCATGGGTGTTGTACAGCAAAACATGGGAGCTGTTGATGAGAGGTCAGGAGGAGATCTGGATTGCTCAGTGTGCATGCTAGTGCCATTTCTTTATAACTTTCTGAATCAGATTCTACCTTCAAGAAAAACTTAAAAGATTCTGGAATTTGATGTAGGACGTTTGTTTGTTTGTTTTTTTTTTTTTTTTTTAAATTTACTAGTAATTTAAACTGATGTAGCTGAACTCTGTTTTTATAGCCCAGTTTTGATGCTCTATCTGCAGCAATGGTGCCTATGCATGTCTGCAAGCATTATTAGAGAGCACAGTTCAACCCTCAACACTGAAATTGCACAGAATGTTTTTTTCTGTTTAGTGGTGCTGAGGTGTTTTTTTTTTTTTTGTGGTTTCTTTATTTTGATTTTGTTTTGTTTTTTGTTTTAAGAGCATAGAGAAACAATGCAATATGGCCTGTATCCTAACATGAATTCATAAATTTCCCTATTGCTTCTTCAGGTGGATCCTGATCCTAGCACTGCTAAAGACATCTTTTTTGCCCCTCTCCCCCCCCACTTCCATCCTAAATAATTTTACTGGAATAATTCATCTCAGCCTAGTGATGGGGAAGAGCAGCGAAGCTGCAGGGTAGGGCCTGGCAGCACAGGAACTGCACAGAAGCATGCTTGTTCTAACTCTTGTTGCCTTCGCAGCCACACAGCCCAGCACAGCAGCTGATGTAGCACAGCAGCTGTGGGCTGGGCCACTAGTCATGCTGGGCCAGCACTGAGAACGGCTGTGCCATGCACTGGTTCAATGCCAGCACTTCTGCACCCCACTGGCTGCAGCACATTTTCCTTCATCACTGTGATGTCGCATTCTCCATTAATAACCTCGCTGCGTGGCCTGGAACTGGGCTGGTTGTGATGGTGCTGCTGAAGCCAAGGGAAACCCTCCCTGCCAGGACTAGCGAGGGCGAGTGAAGGCATGGACTCTGCCTACCCTGCCTTGGAGGGGAAACTCATTTTACAAATGTTGATTTTCCCCCATCTCTCTCCCTATTATGTCTGGTGCCTGGACAGTGAAATAAAAGTTGTTATTTTTGGCCATGCTGACAGAATGTAAGCTACAGGCCTGCCTGTGCCTGAGGTGATGGCTGAGTCAGGCTGTGACCCGTGGGGGAGGGAAGGATGGCAGGTTGAATGGGTGAGGATCTGTGCCAGGCTGATTGTGACGTATCCATTCTGCTTTCTGCCCCTCACAGGTGCTGATGGTGCGAGACTGAGGTTGCCATTGGCCCTTGACAACCCGAACAAGGCTTTAAGTTTTTAGGGGGGGCACAAAAGGAGCCAGAAGCTCCTCAGTACCCATAGGACTGGCAGAGCTGCTGAGCTGCCTGCTTTAGCTTAGTTACCTTCTTGCCCACATCATGGTAGGAGCCACCCCTGCCTGTTTTTGCTTCTCTGCTCCCAGGTCATAGGGAGCAGTGATGTTACTTCTTCCCCTTGTCCAGTATGTCTTGCACCATCGTGTGCCAAAGAGCTATGGGGCCAGACCCCCACTCACCGTCAGTGGGGGCAGGTGGCCACCTCTGGGGGTGCTGCTGGTCCCCATGTGGTTACAGGGGCAGATGCTGCCTGCACTGGGACACTGTTGGCACATTGGCAGTAACCCCTCAGCCCCTCCCCTGGCAGCAATCTGACACCTTCTGTGTCAAGGTCATGTTTACTGCTGCTGTTTGCTAATTTTCTATTTCTGGCAGCCATGGACAAGCCCAGTCGTGTGAACAAACTCGGCTGATTTGGTTGATACACTCAGAGGAAATAATTGGTGTCAACTCATGTCGCTATGTTGATTTCACTGTATCTGTATTGATATACTGATGCACTATTACCTATAGAAGCAGAATATAATCTCATTTACCTTCTCCAGGATCAGGACCATGTTATGCTTCAGCATGTTTTCAAACAGGAAAGTGTAGAAAGCAAACAGGACACTTTGAATCAAAAGATTTGGTCAAAGGGAGGCAAAACACTTGTGTTTTTTACATCCTAGGCTGGAGCACTATAATTCAATAAAAAAGACTGTTTTGTTTTGATGTATCTGAGTTTTTCCTGTATGTTTTATCCTCCTGAAAGTGGTTTCTAGAATCACAGAATTTTGCAATGGTTTGGATTGGAAGGGAGCTTAAAGATCATCTCCTTCCAACCCACTGACCCACTTCCAATAGACCAAATTGATCACAACTTCCTCCAGCCTGGCCTTGAACACTTCTAGGGATGGGGCATACACAGCTTCTCTGGGCAACCTGTTCCAGTGTCTCACCACCCTAACAGCCTCCTTCTGTCTAATCTAAATCAACCCTCTTTCAATTAAAAACTGCTGCCCCTTGGCTTGTTCTTACAGGTCTTGGTGAAAGGTCACTCTCCACATTGCTTATAAGCCCTCTTTAGGCATTAGAAGGCTGATAGAAGGTCTCCTTGAAGCCTTCTCTCCTCCAGCTAAACAACGCCAGCTCTCTGTGTCTTCGTAAGAGAGGAAGTAAACTTGCAGCTAAGAGGCAGTTCAAGAAAGTTCCCCTCCATGCAGTGCTCCAGATTAGCTCATGAAGTGAAATCCTCCCTCTGCTGCGAGTATTCCACGTGTTTGTGTGCACAAGCTCCCTCCCCTTCTCAAAAGTGTGATTGCGCAGGTTTTGGAGAAACACAGCTGTGAGTACACAGACCTGAAGCACATGACGTACACAGAGTACAGAAGTTCAAGCCTGCTTGGCACCTTGGGGGCTTTTGTGGTTGGGTTTTTTTTTCCTGCATCATGATGGTGCATTCGTGCTGTGCTGGTACCCCTCTGAACAAATTTAAGAACAGCCTACAGGAGCCAGAGAAAATGGAGAGGTAAAGCAAGTGTTGGTGGAAGACTTACCTGCTGAAGTTTTACATACAAAAAAGTCAGCTTCATAAGAAGATTAGGCAACATCTTAGCAATGAAAATCCAAATAGTTTACTGCTGACAAAATCGGTTTTTACAGATTTGTACAGCTTCCACTTGAATTCTCTTAAAACACTGAATGTGCCGCACTGCCAGAGTTGCATGCTGTTCAACCCACAAGCGATAGCTGTGTGATCATCACACAACCACTGATGCCTAGCAACAACTTGGAAGTTGCCTATTCTTGGGTATTTGTAACTGCCACGTGTAATTTAAAA